CTTTGGTAAACTGGGGCTTAACATACCTTGTGACCAAGCATCTTTGATTATGGCATTCGTGATGTCATTTTCATTGTCGAGGAGAGGCTGGATAGTTTTCAAGTCCTCCCTTGTCGGGCCGTTGTCCGCGAACTGCTTAGAATCTAAGTAAGGCGATGTTTCCTGGCTGTCGTTGGGCTCAAAGTATTCTACCTTTTCTCCAGCGGGTCGTGAATTCCGGGATTGAAACTGCCCTTGTAGAAATGACAAACTTGTAGAGCTGAGTTGATCCCGGTTTGTGGGATCATCAAACATCTCGTTTGTAGCAATAGGAACTGTTGGTGGAGAAGTGAGCGGGATCTGCTGACCAAACATGCTTGCTTCGGGGGACTGAGGTATTTGATTTCCGTAAAATGGCAATGAAGGCCGTGACGATAGTGCATCTTGAGGTAGTGAACCAGCCCACTGGGACTGAGTCACTTGGTTTGAGGCTGAAAAGGGAAGCTGAAAACGTTTGGCCTTCCCTAGACACAAAATCAATACATGCTTTAAATGAGATTTAAAGTCTTGCGCAAAAGAATACCTTGATTAAATGAAAGAATTCGAACTGAGCCAATTGGACACTGGTTTTTCTTTCAATAGAAAAGTGACGATTCTGTGGCTAAAATACGAAATTTTCTGACAAGATGAAAGTAAAAACGCATAACTAATTTCTGGTGATTACGAAGAAACAGATAAAAAATTTGTTAAACAAAGTGACAACCTTCAGCATCTGGGTACGCTTTGTTCTTCTCCTTGATGGCATCAGCTGGTAATATCACAGGCGCAGGAGCTATGAGAGGAGCGGGTGCAATGGCCCCCGCTGCGGGGACCACTCCCGCGTCAGGCACTACCCCGGATGGTAAAACAACAGGCGCTGGAAAATCGCTGTTGTATTCTGGGAGTATTGAGGCATGCGGCTCCCCTAAGTACAACTGTCGCTTGTCCGGACCTTGTAAAGGAAAGTACAAAACTGTTGCATGCAGAACAGGATGGGTGGGGATGGGAGGGGAGGGAAGGGGAGGTTCAACCGAAAACTAGCTTGTTAATAATAATCTCATTGAACTAGATAAAATTCTTATAACAAACCCCTCATAAGAACCTTTTCTCAGGCTTCTCGCATTATATCTTTAGAAGCCAAATCCCGTCCTAACATAATCCCTGTCATGTTTTTTACCTAGTTCGTTTGTTCTGTGCATAAACTCCTTCCACTTATATGTTAAGGCTTTAAATCGAACGAAAATCCAGAGTCTGCGATGGCAATATTAGGGAAAGGAATGACAGTATTTTGTATGAGAGATATTCTGGACTAGTTAATTGTGTTTTACATCCCAGAAAAGTTGAAATCGCCAAACATCTATTGATTCCGACATGTTTGCAAGCTAGCGTAATTTATGATACATGCGCATTTCGCACTCGGCTGCAATCTAATGCAGTTTTACCTTCAAGTTCAGCGTTTCCTACACGAAAGAAGACGCCAGAGGTGAGGACCAGGCTGAACAAAGCAACTCGCCGAACGAGTCTCTCCATTGGTGCAGGAACGTCACGTGATAATGTATACTACACACGTATAACAAGGAAAACATTAAAATGATCATACACATCATGTAAGGATAAACGACCAAGTAAAATAGTTCAAAATCAGTTGATTTAGGAGAGGCTATAAAGCCAAAAAATGACGCTCTGGCTCCGGTTGTTCGAAAGCTGGATAACGCTATCCACCGGCTACCAAAGGATAAGTGTTAACAAACCACACTATCCACTGGATAGTGATTTATCCGTGGATACTGAGCGTTATTTACCTTTCGAACAACCCGGGCCTGAATGTTGTTGTTGATACTTGCACGATGATAAGTTGCGTCCGGTATAAATAATACTCTTTAACAAATTTCAACCAGGAGAATACAATAAGCAGTTCTTCCCAGGTCAAAAGTAAGTTTTCTCGTGCTATCCGCCCTTCATCAGTCATCACCCTCGCTATTATTTTGCCTTGTCATCAGGCCGCCAGTAACGGAGAGATATTTGAATTTAGAACTATACCCAGATTGAAATACGATTCAAGTGGAGATTTAGTGTGCTTATACGACAAGTAAAATAACTCTAAAGAAGGTAGTTCAAGTGATCACTGAAAGTTGTTTTAACATGCAACACTATATACCAACATGTATACTTT